TTTGAGAGAAATTTGAGATACATTATGTTATAACTTTGGACCAATGTAAGATTTATATGTTTCACATGATCATATTCCATATTTTTATTTGGTTTTATGTATTCTACCCTCATTTCTCTATGCTATAGTGTTATTGTATTGTACAGGGTGCTTTATATTGATATGATTGGATTAACTGCTGGAGTGCTAGTAATAGTAGTGTATGATATATCCTTTATGTTGTGTTTCTGATTTAATTCTTATGGTTTTGTTAAAACTATCTGTTTTTAGCTTTTGAGTAGGGTCATGGCCCTACAATTGTGCAGTGGAATCTCAGCATTGCAAAGTATACCTGCAAAACCCAGCTTCTACTGTGAGGGTTTGACCCACAAAATTGCAGTTAACAGATTTTCTTGTGTTTCTCTCCCTCGTGTCGTGTTTTCGCGCCCAATTGTTTCAAACTCATGGAGGCAGCAGCCATCAAGAGGTATCTACTAGTTATTTAAAAATTTCTTAACTTTTATGAAATGAGCAATGATAATTAGATATGGGATAGAAGTAATAATCTAACATCTGTACTCGTTACATTGGATTTTTGTGAAGGGTTTTGACACCAAGATTTCTTTTTTTTTAACAGTTAATGCAAACCCATGAGAATGCTTATTTGGTTTGTCTATGAGTAAAAGGACTAATTGCTAAATTCTATGTTTCTCGTCTTTTTCCTTCTTTTTTTTTTTTTTTTTTGAATTTCAAATTTCTAAGTTTCTCTTTTCGAGGCATAATTTTGTGTCTCTGATTGTTTGAATTTTATCTGTTCACTTCAATAAGTTACAAAACCTGACATCTTTAATAGAGTCAAGAAGGAAATGGAGGGGTATCCTGTGAGGAATTCATTCTAGTTCGTGGTTTGGTCATTTGTGCTTACATTTATGCATACATAGTCGCCATCATCATCATTTGAGCTGTATCCCAACTATTTGTAGTCGGCTACAAGAATTCTGTTCCGCTACTCCTCTCTATCAAGTGCTATAGCTTCAGTCAAACTATAAGTCATCATATCTCTTCTTACTTTGTCCATCCATGTCCTTTGGGCACTTTCTCTTGTCCTTTTAGAGCCTTCCACTTCCACGTATACCCTTTGTCAAACCATAAGTCGGCATACATACATGCATACACAGACACCATATATGTATATATTTATGTATGTATTTATTTATTTAGGATGAAAATGGCATGACCACCTTGCTTTGGTATCATGACTTTGACTTGGGTTAATTGTAAGGAAAAGTTGTATTCTTAAATGGACTATGGAAAAACCATAATAAATACTACCCTCTTCTCGGGAAAAGGCTTGGTGCATTTCCCCTCACCAGAGACAACTCAACTAGGCAAGCTGAGCAAAATGACAAATAAGTTAAAAAAACAAACCTATCAATTTCAACATGTTCTTAAAATTTGTGTGTTTTTTGTGAAACTTTCAGGCAGTGACATTTGAAGACACTATTTGTCACCTTATAATGGCATGAGTATAGAAGCTTAGTGGTGCCCATATTTATCGGACTGCTGCTTGAAATTTTTCTGTGTCTGTATTGATCAATTCTGCATAATCATTCAATTGCAGCTTGCCTTTAATCCCTTTCCTATGTTTCATCATGTACCGAATTTTGATTTGTCTTCTACAAGAGTCAATAAACATGAAAGACAAAGCACAGTTTTGCATTATTTTGGTTGGTTATGTGAAATTTCCAGCAATCTTCTCACTATTTGGAAGTTTGGTCAATGAGTTCAATATTCATTAATCCTCTCTTTTATCCATTTTATCTTCTCTCTATTTGAAACTTAAATCTTCTCACTGTTTATAACGCTTTAAAGAAAAGTTTAGCTAGTTGAAACTTAAATCAATGTTCGCAATATTTATGGAAAAATAGGATTTGCTTTTTGCGCGGGTACCCACCTCTCGGCTTCCTCCTCTCCCTTGCTATGTGGCTCGAACGGCAGCCTAACAAGCACTATCGCTCCTCTTTTCTCCCTTCACCGGCTTCCCTCCCTCTCTACGCGTTATAGGCTCAAGCGCATGGGGCCAAAGGCCTCAAAGGATGTCCCCTCCTCCTACCGTTACCCCCCAATGACCAAAAAGCCCAAGTGGTGGTGGCGAACCCTTGCCTGCCTTCCATACCTAATGCCCCTCCATGAAACTTGGATGTATGCTGAACCCGCCTATAATCTTCACCCCTTCTTAGAGGATTTTGAGTTTCTCACCTACCCATTTCTTGGGTCAATAGGGAGACTACCTGGTTGGTTCTTGATGTTCTATTTCTTCGTCGCCTATTTGGGTGTTGTGCGGCGAAAGGAATGGCCTCACTTCTTTAGGTTCCATGTGGTGTTGGGGATGTTACTTGAGATTGCTTTGCAGGTGGTCGGGACAGTTAGTCGTTGGCTGCCGTTGTCGATGTACTGGGGAAAGATAGGGATGCACTTTTGGACAGCCGTCGCGTTTGGATACCTCTTTACAGTGCTCGAGTGCATCCGGTGCGCGCTTGCGGGCATGTATGCTGATGTGCCCTTTATGTGCGATGCAGCGTACATTCAGATCCCATATGATTAAGAGAGAGAGGGAGATAGAGAGAGGATTGGTTTGAGATGATTTTATGTGTTGTATTGTAAGAACTATATGGATATGGGTTGGTATTTGGATAGATATTGTTTTGGAGAGAGAGAGAGAGAGTAATGCCTTACCAAAATCTCTCTCTAAGGAAGTGAAAATCTCTGGCAAAAAGTTGTGGTTCATTTAGGGAGTCTTTCATTCTCTGTGGAACAATGTGTTCATTTCTAGTTAAGCCGTACATGAATGGCTTGAAGAAAAAAAAGGAGTGTATTGCACCCTGATCTCCTCTGATTATGGGAAGTCTGTGGCCATCAGTGTTATCACCCTCCAATCGAATGATGGACAGTAATGTAAAGAGAACGTATCACCTGGGTCATGTCATAAATTGATTGGACGGTGATAGCATTTGCAGCCATGGGTTTTTTATAACGATATGGATCATGGGAAACTTTTTTTTTTTTTTTGACCGCAGTTATCAAATTTTATTAATGCATATCATATTACATCATAGATGATAGAGATAGAGTCAAAGCGAGAGCCATGAACCAACATGTTGGACTCCCTGGAGACATGTTTAAAGGTTAAGGTTAACAACTCCGTCAAATTCGTCACTTGTCACCAAATGGATTTCAACTTCCAAGGGTCTCTTTGTTCGAGCTTGCAGTACTTAAATAACATTAAGCGAATCGCCTTCCACCGTAATCAAATATCCCATATTTTTAGACTTAAGAAATTGAAGACCAAAGAGTAGCGTTGAGAACTCACCAAAATTGATCATGGGAAGCTTTCTTTGGGAATAACTAATCGTGGATGAATGTAAATCTGGTAAGGCTCACGTGATTGATATATAAGCTGGTAAGTTTTTAGTATGGCATTGAATACTGTAAGGTTATTTATTTTTTTGTACGAGGAGGTCACAATTGGATTTGAGATTTGACAACTTAAAGTTTGTCACATAGTTCAAGAAATTATGTTTTGATTTTTTTGTTCGGTTGATAGTACCATATGTTGCATCTATTGGATAAGGAAAATTGTTTGGTGCGTCCATGCCTATACCTGCTACTATGGGGGTTAAGAGATCCTACACCATCCACCAAAATCGGGTCTTGTAAATACTAGTTCTTCAAAGAAAAAATAAAATCAACGGTTCAAATATTTTTTCCAAAAAATATCATTTCTACTTTTTAAAATTTACTTATTTTCACATATTAATAATCTCCATGTTAAAAATTACATATTCCTTAAAAATTATGATCAAATTCTACTTCAAAAATAAATTATTAAGGGGACCTCTATATGTGAGTGTAAGGACTCATAAAAATTGTCACATTGTGATTTTCTCGTACCAAAAGTAAATGATCTTATTATATACATTCCCTTCTAGTATTAATAGTTCTGTTGGAAGTTGCTTGTAATTATACAAGCTCGAATTGAAGTATGGTTCCATTGGAATTAGCTGTTAGATATACAAGCTCGAGTTGGAAGGAAAATCAAATTTTTAGAAGAAGCAATGAAAATATTAGGGTCTATTGCATTTCAGAGTGAAAGATGTATACCCCTCTCCCTAAAGCTATTATTGTGAATAACCCCCTGGGCTTATTTAAAAAAAAACCCCATAGAAGCTCCCAAGTTATTAAGAAAACAAGAAAAAACCCGCTTAACCTTCCTCTTTGTCTTTTCTATTATCCAAATTATTTCATTTATTTATTTATTATTTTTCTAATGACCTCATTGTACGATTGGATTTTGTGATGCCTCTTTTAACGTACTTGTCAAGATGAGAATATACATGGAAGGTTGCTAGAGAAAGAGGATGAGGTTCACGAGTGAGAAAGAGAGAGAGAGGCAGAGTTTTTTCGAGATTTAGATAACATGGTGATTAGGAAAAAAAAGAAGGATAAATGCTGTAATTTGGACAAGCGAAAAAGATAATGAGGGAGTTAAAACGTTTTATTTTGTTTTGTTTTGTTTTTTTTGTGTTTTTAAATTTGGGGTTTCCATGGCTTTTCATAGGACTAAAGGCATTATTTGGACTACAATTTTATAGAGGGGGTATATGTTATATCAGCAATTCATATGCCTTAAGATGTTTCTCTCTCCCTCTCGCTCGCTTTCATGACATTTTTCTCACACATAAGGTTCTATGTGGACAGATCTACAACTTTACTAAAGGATTCATTAGAAATACATACAAGAAAAGTTATTTAGAAATGGTATTGTATACTATTACACAATTTACTATTATTATAAGGACGCTAGAATCACTCCTAGACATTAGATTTCAAATTGAATGGCTAACTCCTAGACATTAGATTTTAAATGAAATGGCTTAGAACATATTGTAAAATTCATTTTTTTTTTTTAACTTTGAATCTAATCAATAATACAATTACAACCACCGAATTCAAAATCTAATAGAAAAAAATAACGACGAGCTCCTTGTACTAAAAGTGCCTGTGGCTTCTTTGTACTTAATTCTCGTTAGCTTCATACACACTCACACATTGGTTAGGATAGTGCGATTTAGGAGGATCATTTTAGGCTTAAAATTTTACAAACCACATAATGTCCATTCATACTGTGCGTGTATTATGCACGGGAACATACTGTGCATCCACTCCCTCATTGAAAACACCTATTTTTGGTCATAAAATTTTACGAACCATATAAAAATTACTAGATAATTCTTTTAAAAAGAAAAAAAAATTGAAATTTGAGTTTTTTGACATTTATATCTAGCCCTTCGAAAAATTGGACGGCTTCTATTCAATCTCGAGACATTTGCTTTTTCTGGTGCATAGAGAATTTATTTCGGAATAGTTTTACCAATATTAGTCTATGGACGGTAGAGATTACATCCCAAAATTTGAAAGTATCCCTAGTACGTATCTTGCTTGATGGAGGGAGCAAATAAATAGTACATTCCTGCAAGAGTAGGCGATAAGGTTCACACCGTTAAAACTGAAATTTCTTTATGCTTGTAGAAAACAAACTCCTATACGCCATTACAATAGATAGAAAATAAAACTATTATCATAGACCTCAATCAAAGTGAAGAACAAAATGAGATGTGCTCCTAGTTCACCACTGAAATGTATCATTTCTCTTAAGATTATCTTGAACACAAATAAATTTATTAAGAGGCCTGCATTTCTACAAATACGGGTTTGCCAAGCATAGAAACCATATCTCACTTTTAAAAACGTTTTTTGTTTGGAGAAGATTTGTTTTATGAAGGTAGACCTTATT